TATCCCCTGTGTGCCTTGTCGACTCAGTTGCTATACGAAGTTATTACGTTAATAATTATCGAGATACTAATCATTTAAAAAAAAAGAAAAATTTTACATAATGGCCAAGTTTTTGCTTCACTATGATTTTATTGATCATTTTAATAACTTTAAGTCTGTTTTACGAAACTTAAAGTTATTTGAAAAGACAATGACATTAAACTTTTGCTGCATATAATTTTGAATAATTTAAATGATTTATTAAAAAAATAATTTTCTGATTTGGAATAAAATATTTTATTATATTATATTATATCTAATTTATAATACAAAAATACTGCAACTAAAATATTACACATTTAACATGCTAAAATTTTAAATAAAGAATCAAAATTTTCTGAAATAATTATAAAACATTTATATCTCAAATTTGACCTATTAATTTAATTTTTGACAAATATTATTTAAAAATTTTATTCTCTTAATTTTTCTGAAAAAATTGCTACGTTATGGCAAATTATCTTACACACAATTATTGCGAAACTTTCGTTAATTTATAATGTTATTGTATAATCTTTTCACAATTTGTCTATCAGATAACTTATCCTACATCCAATCTACAAGCTCCTTCCAATTTCCATTTGTTTAAAACATTAAAGGAAGCTTTGTATAGATATACGGGTAATATACGACAATAAAACGGCATTGAAAGATGTGATGCATATGTGGCTTCAAAGGTAGCCAAAAACCTTTTCAGTGACAAAAGCAGAAGATTTGTGGATCGTTGCATAAATGTTTTATAAAGTTTGGCATTAAATTAAGAAATGATTTTGTATATATTTTGATAACGTGAGGATTAAATAAATTATCATTTTATTTTCTGTAGATTTCCTTTCGTATATTTTAAACCAATTGAATTTTAAAATGATGGATATACCTATTAATAATTCGTTTCTTGTTGACAGATTTTTCTCTGGACAGGCACGACGGAAAAGTTGATAACTATCAAGCTGACAGACTGCGACGAAACTTGTCCTCTGGAAACCTATTTAGAACTCGTGCGGGATGTAATACCTTCGGACAAGGAGATAACTTGTTTGTGGGACGATATATCTAGAGAAGAACTGCTGGATCTGTTTGCTGAAAGGCTAAATTTGAATTAACACACTTAATGAAATTTTATATACGAATATGAATAAAATATGTATCACATACATCAGTAAATGGGAAAGGATTAAAATGGATTAAAATTTCTTAATTCATGGATTGAAATAAATTTGGCCTCCGTGGAAATAAATGCATTTCTATTTTTTCATAATACGAATATAATATAATATTTTTTGGATTTAGATGGATTGAAACAATGCATTTCCTATTCACAATTTTTAATTGAATAACATTCATGGTGCATTTTCACAAAAAAACTTTTTTTGAATTTAATTAAATTGAAAAACTGCATTTCCTGTTAAAAAATTTTAATTAACCAGTATTCACGATTTACTTTTTAAAGCTAAATTTTTGTTTGTTTGAATGGCTTCATGCAATTGAAAATGTGCTTCATGCAATTCCTATAAATGAATACAAAGGCATTGGGCATTGAAATGGATTCAGATTTTCAGAAGTACGCATTCGCGAACGTTTAAATGAATTTTTTTCTAATCTATTTCAATCCATTCTCGTTTACTGGTTACATATATACATATATGTATGTAATTACATTTTTAGACTGAATATTGCTCTATATTAAT